TTCTTGTTTATCTGTAGTTTTCCTTTCAATAGCTTGCTCGAAAGCTCTAATGAAGGCAGCATACTTAAGTGGATCACCATCAAACTCTGGGATAGCTCGTGGCGGAAGAGAGGCTATGGCTTGGTTTTGAACCAGCTGAACGATGATGTTAGTTTGCTGTTGCATAAGGTCATACAAAGTAGGGTGTTGAACATTGTCAAGAGAGGAATGATGATGAGACTGTGATTGCATACATGTACTCTCTTGTGAGGTCAGTGGCTGAAATCCTGCTGTTAAAGCGTTGGAGTGTCTGGATCCGTGTCCCTGCCATTCAGACTCATGCATGTGGGTAGGCCGACTCCCTTGTGAGATCAACGGCTGAAGTCCTGTTGGTGCAGCGTTGGTGGGTCTGGTTTCAAGGACATTTCCCCGCGCTTCAGACCTGTGAGAAGATGGTGCATATGACACTGAAGACAAAGGGTTATCAGACCTTACTGAAGACTGGGCTTGTGAAATGTGTGGCCTTCCCTTAGGCCGCACAGCCAATGGCAGAGAATGGTCCTGTTGGAAAGAGACAGTTTTAGGAAGTTGCGAGACAGGAGCTGTGTTAGAATAACTTGATGTCTGTGATTTCAAATGAGCATGAAGATAGGCATTCATGGCATCCTCTCCATTATCCCCTTCATACTCGTCCACATCTTCACCACCACGCACATTTTCAAACACAGACAATCTAGCTGTAGCAGCAGCCAACTTGGCCTCAACCTCTAGCTGTTCCTTTTTCCTTTTCAGCTTTGCCTTTTCCATTTGAAGGGAATCTTCCTCAGCGTCAATGTCATGCATTTTTCTCAAAGCAGCTACAGACTGTAGAAGTGCAGCCCTTTCAGCCTTTGCCTTTAAACGTACAGAAATAATACTGGAAGCCTTTGAATGGACAGAAGAGTGATCTTTATGTTTTGACCCTTTACTTGAAACATTGGATATGCTATCTTCAGGCCTTATGTCAGAATTTATTTTAGACAGCACATCAAGATTCTCATCATTTTTTGGATCAGCATCGGCCAACCAGTTCTTTACATCATTCTCAAATGTATTCATTTCCTCTGTTTTCTGTGCAAGCCAACGTTGTTGTTTGTCATGTTCAGAATCTGGCATAGGCATTTCCAGCAAAGTAGTTTGAGTTTCTAAAGCCTCATTGCACAACGTGGTATATTTGTTTAGACAATTCTTCACATCAAACACAGTTTGAGATGTTCTGTTCCCAGAAAGAACCTCATTAATCCTCTGCTTAATTTTATTAGCTTGCATAAGTTGGGATTTCCGATTTTTTTGCAGATTTTCGTACAACATTGTAAATCCCTTAGCTGTTAATTTTCTTATGCGTTTCCCCGAGTCATCAACAGCAACACTAGGCTTATCAGAAATATAATTTTCGTCTGTAGCCACAGAAGCAATTTTGGCTCCATCGAGCAAGGTTTCTTCCTCTGCACTCATCTTTATGCACTAAGCACGTCAAGTTCAAAGCACTCAATGAAAACAGCAAAATTAACTTTACTTATGCAGAGGCAACCAACAGCACGCACAACAAAGCACTTTCAATTTTACGAAGCAACAACACTGAAACAGTCTTTCATTTCGATTTCGAGAGTCCACCTTTTTTCCAATTCCTTCAGCAGAAATATTATGAAAGTGTACCCACCAGCTTTCCGTGATTGCGATCTGCGTGAGAACTTACAGGTGTTTCAATGATGACTTCCAAACTCCGCGACAGGTAAGCAATCCAATGAGATGGGTAATCCTTTCAATATCCAAACGATCAAGACACTCCTGTCCAGTTCAGAAGCGTATCCAAAACAGAAAGGAATCGGTTCTTACTGTGTGGAGGCTATCCTATAAGCCTCGGCATAGATGGCATGGTGTTCTCAACTCGTAGCAGATAAATCCTGAGTCCAAACATTAGCTCTTTTTTTGGGTGTTTTTCCCGTTTATTTATAAAAGTAAAAAGGGGATAATTCACATACTATGGTACTTCACCCAGTGCTAAATAATAAAGTGCTGTCGTGCTGTTGGTGAAGTGGGTGCTCACGGCTACGGTAAGAACCGTGTGTTCCCCGCCATCCACACCTCCTCCTGACTAATTGCCACACCTGTAAATATACCTGACTCCCAGTGACGTGTCACACCCAGTGCAACACTCCCACCAAGTGGCTAGGATAAATAATAACAGAATTAACCTATGCAGAAATGGTGAATGTATAAATGGCTCCTACAGAGCTATATTTATAGGGCTAGGCCACGCCTACTTCGGCGGGTGGGTGACACAGTGGGCGCGAAGCGCCCCCATTGGACCGTCACCAAAGGGCCTCTCTCGATAGGCTGATGCAGTTGCCGCAGGACAGCCAATAGGCACGCAAGCCGCCTTTGCCTATGTCTGTATGCTGCCGCCGCAACGCGTTTTACATTAATTCAAAATTAAGGATAATTTTTTGGCTTCAATATCTCGTGGAAAAGATGTTTTCCCCTAGCGTAAGATATTACGCAGTATGAGAGAACCTCTCGTAAAGAGAACTTTTTTTATGTGATGGAAAAATACAAATACCAACAAAAAATAATGTTGTCCTTGGTTTCAAAATTTATTGTGTCTGTATGCGATGGCCTGAATGAGTGTGAGATTTCCCGGCCTGAAATTTTGTTCCAGTCCAGCCCTGTTTGATTGGCCTATTACGCTAGTCATGCCATGAATCCCGTCTCTCATGTTTGTGTGCATTCTGCATCCACAACACTGTGATCGTCATGACACTTCCTTTTTTTTAAATATAGGAAATAATAAATTCAAAATGGGATAATATACAATCTTCTCACTTTCCCAAAACACTTCATACTTGCAATATAAAGTTTGTGTTCTTTTAAATTCAGTCAAAGGCCAATCTGTGGTGTCCATCCATTCTCTATTGGTCATACATGTTCTAGTCATGCAAAGTCAGGTCAAAGTTCACCATACTTGAACTTTCAGATGCAATAAATAATAAAAACTTGTCTGCAAGTTACGTTTGCTCCATAGACTTTCATTCTGCATGCGGGACACCGGACACACAAGTTCAGACTAAGAAATTAGTCATTTATTGTCATCAAGAGTCATCTAGTTTCGCTCACCACTAAAGTACGTCTATCTGCACATTGCACTTTGTTATAGGAAAAGCCTCTTGTTACTTTAAGTTTAATAAACAGTTGTCTTTCTTGTCTAAGCCAGGGGGAAGCATTTAAATTATCCTATAAATGCATTTAAAAAATATTATTCAAAGCTAATCAATTTCCAAATCCAAAAGTCGCTGTTACTGTGCGCAAGAGTCTCGAATAAATGTTCAACTCTAAAAGGGCACTTCAGCACAGCGTCTTTAAATAACATGCGACTGCTTCCTAGAAAATAACTCCCCGTTTGAATTTAATGCTGCGTCACACATAGCCTAAGTGAAAATAAAGGAAAAAATATAGGAAATAATAAATACAAAATGTGATAATATACAATCTTCTCACTTTCCCAAAACACTTCATAATTGCAATATAAAGTTTGTGTTCTTTTAATTCAGTCAAAGGCCAATCTGTGGTGTTCAGATTCTATTGGTCATACATATTCTCGTCATGCAAAGTCAGGTCAAAGTTCACCATACTTGAACTTTCAGATGCAGTAAAATAAGAAACTTGTCTGCAGTTACTAGACTTTTGCTCCATAGACTTTCATTCTGCATGCGGGAGTCCGGATACACTTGCTCAAACTAAGAAGTTATTCATTTACTGTCATCTAGTTTTGCTCACCACTAAAGTAAGTTTATCTGCACATTGCACTTTGTTATAGGTATAGCCTCTTGTTACTTTAAGTTTATTACACAGTTGTCTTTCTTGTCTAAGCCACATAGGGGGAAGCATTTAAATTATCCTATAAATGCATTTTAAAAATATTATTCAACGCTAATTTCCAAATCCAAAAGTAGCTGTTACTGTGCGCAAGAGTCTCGAATAAATGTTCAACTCTGAAAGGGCACTTCAGCAGGTTACAAAAACTCCTCCGCGTTTGAATATAAAGCTGCGACACACACTATAAGTGAAAGTGAAAGTGCCAGTGCCACGAGCCTACGTGTCGGTGAGTTAAAAAAAACACTGTTCATCTATTGAATCTATTGGTTTAATCTATGATAGATTACTAAACCTACTATCCCCGCTGATGTTTTTATGTTAACCTGCACCACTTTGGAGGACACTGCAGGAAAACGACATACGAAATAACAGTCAGTAGCCTAACCTATGGCTGCATATTAGATCTTTCGATTTACGTGCATTTTGTAAAGATTCAATAAGTAGGCAACATATTTGGTAACCTTATGCTAAATGATACAGAAAGAGGTGACCATGTGCCCTCTTTATGTTCAATAAAGTAACCGAATAATTTAGATTGTGTTGGTGTAGACCGTGACATTTTATTAAGTTATAGGCATAAAACGATTTCATAAAAAATGTAAAATATATTTTTCTTCATGCATGTCGCATTGAGAGACAGGAAATGATTGCATAGGGTCCTTATAACCAACAGTTTAACTAGGCCTAACGTTACTTGGTTAAATTGCCGCGTTAAAGTTAGTTTCGATATTAGTCTTCTGTTCAGAGATGTGACAGTCCTATAGGCATAAACACCACGGTTAGTTAGTTTAAATAATATATTTAACAACTGTATATGGGCACAACAACAAATTACTCAAAACCGCCAACGCTTTTTATAGCTGAATATTTATAATTCGCTATAAAAAAGGGACCGTCTTAAAATTCTAAACCAAAAAAACAACTGCGTTAAAATGTTGGCACGGTCCAAGTGCCAGATCTACAGTTGAGGTTTTGCCAAGTCTCTATTTTTACACGTAGGCTACTTATACAGTTACTCATTTATTTTAGAAAGAAAATTTACTTTACTTTACCTAATTGATATTTTCACATCCCAATTATTGTAGGTTGTGGTCAGACGGACTCTTAACGGGACATTTTGCAAATATCTCCCTCTTTAGGGACACAGGCCTACATCATTATTTTGGAGAAAAATCACTACAATTTGCATAATGTCACATTTCAAAGGAAGTTGTTAGTGGCCACATTACTGCAGGTGAGCTTTTTCCAACATCTTTCTATATTTTTTTACATTCCCCTCCCCCTCAAAACTCTTCACACAGTTTTCTTTTGTAACATTTATTTACAAAACAATCATGACATTTCTCTACTGTTAAGAATGCACTGTAGTTTATGTTATGGTCCATGATTACATTACAGTACATAAATATCCCTATTCTATAGTATAGATGGTAATGAAATTGAAAGTAACTATATGCCTACAGTGAGTTCAGCTACATCTAATTATTTTGATTATTTTTTTCCAGATTCTTTTAGATTCAGAATATTTTTCGATATGAATTTATGGTTGAAATGTATCAAATTGCTATTTAGCTTTGTGTTATTAGAATGTGTACATGTTAAAACATTTAAGTAAGAATGTTTTTAGATTTTGAATATGTCAATATGGTATTATTGTTGAAATGTATCAAATTGCTGTCTTATTCAGCTTTGTATTATTAGAATGTTTATGTTAAAACGTATAAGTAATTTGAATGAAAAGGTTTTTGTTGTTTTGTATGTTGGTTTCAAACAGGAGAATACCAAAATACGAACTCACAGTCAAAGTTCCATACACAAAAATGCAGCCAAATGTTGATTTTTTTTTTTTTACATTTGTGTCTTGACAGGAATCCATTAATCAAAAATGAGTGCTGGAGAGAATGAGGATGGCTCTGTCCCTATGAGCAGTCCAGAAGAAGACCTTCATTCTGAACGGTGAGGACAATGAGAAAGTCACATAGCTACATTTCAAGATCAATTATGCTTTGTATTGATTTATTGACATTTATTTTAAAGATAGCACAAATTCATTCCTCACAAATGAGAGATGAATCAGAGAGACTAATTTTTATATAGGTGTAAGTGCGAGTGTGAATGTGTGCATGTTAGGGGTGTAACGGTACATGTATTCGTCCCGAACCGAAAGTTACGGACATCACGGTTTCGGTGCATGCAGTCACACCATGAATACAATCGGTCACAGGCGATCCACACTTCCATCCAGAAGGGGGCGCGCGCGGTAATGCAACACTGTTTGCTATCAGTAAAAAGCGTTGAAGATGATGAGACGATCAATTGGTATGTTTACATGTAATCTATCAACCAGCGGAAAGACTTCAATAAAAACAGCTTGAGAATAATATCTCACGTAGCATTACATTTACCTCAAGCATTTAGTGTCAACAACAGGTTAGTTCGCTAGAGAAATTAACTCTAGAGATAAGCATTTCGTATATGCACTTTATTAGCCTATTCATTATATTTACATAACCTGTTAGCAATGTCTTGACAAATTTATTTAAACATACATTAAATAATCATGAAAACAAGTTATGACAGTAACTGTGTAAATGATTATATTTCAAAATTGGAGTAGAAAATGTACTTTATAGTTAGATTTAGTAGTTCATGCGAAACCTGCCTCAATTTACATGTTTTTAATTTTATTTGAGTGTTGATTATTATCTAAAAATAAATGGCAACTGAATTTAATAATTTGTGCTCTGTTGTTCATTTTAACCTTAAATAATATAGTAATAATGTGTAAGTAAGGGCTCCCTATAATTTACAACATTAGCTAATATATATATTTTTTATCCCTAAGAAAAATGTAATAATAATTGAATTTATTTCAAGACAGAGTTGTGACTTCTAAACCGAGGTGCGTACCGAACCGCCATGTTTGTGTACCAGTACACCTCTAGTGTACAGTATGTCTGTGGGTTGGTCCTGTGATGGACTGGTCATTCAGAGTGTTTCCCTGCCTTTGACCCGAGACGCTGGGATTGGCTCCTGCATACCTGTGACTCTACAGAGGACAAATTTTCAAGCAAAACATCTGACTAAAAGAAGTTTGAAATGCTAAAACAATAGAGTAAACAACACAGTCAGTGTTGTGTTTGTAAGTGTTTGTTTGTGGTAAGCGGAAGATGTTGCTAGTTAATGTGATTCTTTACACCTGTGGTTCTCTGTTGGACACCTGTTTGGATTTGAGGAGAACTGACTTCATACATACACTAACAATCATCAAAACGCAAGCTGATTGAAACACACTTAGACTTTAACAGTTATGAAGAATGTTGATGCGTGTGAAGAGATAAGATTGTGCAGCATTTGAGACACACAAGAGACACTTGCTTTGACATTTTTTTTTTTTACAGTATAGCTATACATATAGCACTATTGCTTTAATATTATACACAGGCAGACACCAGTACATGTGACCCTTAGCTTATACAGGGCGAATTATTTGGGTAACACTTTACCTAAAGCATTAATGTATAATGCATTATAAAGATAGTCATTATGTGCATTATATATTTAATACATAATTCTAACCATAGTTAAAATGCATCATAATATTTGCATATTCCTTGTGAAATTGGTTGTTTATCATGTGTTTAAATGCTATACTTTCGAAAGGTGTAACAATGAATAGATAAGTATTGTATTTGTTAAAATTATTAATGAAACCATAGAATGCATTATTAGGTGCATTACAAGGCATAAATTAATGCATTAAAAATACTTTTATAATGCATTATATATAAAGGCTTTAAGTAAAGTGTTACCATTATCTGTTTAAAGGGCATGGAGATACAATTTATTATTTATTACATTTTATTGAGAAATAGAAAAAAACTTGGTAGTTTATTTGTGACAAATATTCAGTATACAGTTCCCTTTCGAGGGAACTCGCGATGCGTCAACGACGCTTTGGGAACGCCCCCAGCGTGAATGCGTCTGAAGCATCTATGTCAACTAGTCCAATGGAAAGAATGAGTGTCACGGGCGGGTGACGTCATGACCAGGAAGTGATAAAAGCACATCCGGTGCAAACCGGCATTAGCTTCTGTGCCTCAGCAAGCGATCTGTGTTATACTGTCTCTGTCTATTTATTGTTGTCTGTTGCATATATATTGGAAAGAGTTATGGCGAAACAAATGTAAAAACAGTGTGCTTCTCCCTGCCTGCGTTATTTAACGGGTGGGGACACACACAAGCTTTGTGTCATTTGTTTGGGAGTGGAGCATGCGGTCTCACCCTTCGAGGGGGCTGAGTGCCAGCATTGTGAGATGCTTCCGCTTCGCATGCTCCGCTCTCGCCTGTCACTCTTTGACGAGGCAACACAGAGAATGCATTCTTGGGGATCGCAAAAGGATCTTTCGGAGGGGTTGGAGACGGGTCCGAGGGCCTTTTCTCCTTCCTTACCCGGAGGATCCAGTGCTCTCCACCCTGTGTCGGAAGCCCGCTCTGCGGGGAGAGAGTCCTCCATTACTTCAGTGCTCTTCCTCTGAGGAGGTTGATGTAATGAGTATGGAGAGTGAAAGCACACACACTGGGGAAAGAGATTCGCCACCTGTTTCCCCAGCATATGAGGAGCTGGTGGAGGTGATGTCTCGGGCTGTAGAGAAATTAAATATTGAATGGCTAGTTGAGAAAAGGGGCGCTTGTCCCAAAAGCAAATTAAACGAGCGCTTCCTTTCTTCAACCACATCATCTCCACCACGAGGCCTTCCCTTTTCCCCCGATCTTCATAGTGAGCTATCTAGATCATGGAATAAGCCGTACTCGTCACGACTTTTCAGCCCTCAGGTTCATTTATATTCAGGTATAAGAGGGCTGAAAGAGTACGGATATGAGGCGATGCCCCAGGCTGAACAGACGCTTGCAAGCTATCTGTCACCTGGTCCAGCATCGTCTCTGAAGGCCTTAGCTTTGGCCACTAAACCGCTTAAAGCAACTTCGGTTTTAGTGAGCAAAGCTTATACGGCAGCAGGTCAAGCTGGAGCATGTCTGCACACTATGGCAGTGCTCCAGGCTTACCAAGCTGACCTGCTGGGGGATCTGGATAGGAGTGAGGGAGTTGGTCCTGACGAGGTTCGAGAACTTCGTCGGGCCACCGATCTGTCTCTCAGGGCTACAAAGGAGACCGCCAGAGCAATTGGGTGGTCTATGGCAGCCCTTGTAGCTACTGAGAGACATCTTTGGTTAAATCTGGCCGAAATAAAAGAAAAAGATCGGGCTTTTTTACTAGATGCTCCGCTTGAGCCTTCTGGTCTCTTCGGCGACGCAGTCAATGCGGTCGTCGAGAGATTTCAAGAGTCAAAGAAGCAAGCGGAGGCATTTAAAAAGTTCCTCCCTCGCCGTGTCCAGCCCCCTGGGGCTACTGGGCGTGAGCAGCCCCAGCCGTCGAGCTCCTCATATCATGCGCAACAGAAATGGAGTGTTTCGTCTCGTGCACCTCCACATAAACACTGGAAACAGGCGCAACACTTCAGGCGAAGAAGACTTCGGCTCAAAAAAAGAGGTCCTGACGTCACTGGCGTCAGACCTGTGAGGACAGCCCCGACCGAAGTGGAGCGGTGTACACCTCAGAATACGGTGCCCGTTCCACTTCGGGGTCCTCACGGGACCGTTCTGCCAACCCCGTCACCCTTGGTGCTTCGGGGCGCAGCAGTCTCCAGCGAGTCGCTGATGCTATGCTGCGGCACTGCATCGGTTTCGCGCCCTCTGAGGGGGGTTCTAGAGCAGCCAGTTCAGGTAGTTCCTGCCATTATGTTTCAGGCTCCAGAACTGGCTGTCTCGTTAATACCAGAGACCAGCCTCGAGAGGCAAAGAATACCAGTATCGGGTACTTCCTTTCGGTCTAGCTTTATCACCCCGCACGTTCACGAAATGCGTAGATGCAGCTCTAGCCCAGCTCAGGCTGCAGGGCATACGTATTCTGAACTACATCGACGACTGGCTGATTCTAGCGGAATCAGAGCAGTTGGCGGTTCGGCACCGAGGTGTCGTTCTCGCACTAGGGTGCCAGCTTGGGATCTTGCTATAGTACTAGAAGGCCTGTCTAGGGCTCCATTCGAGCCCTTAGATTCGATTTCAGAGAGATTTCTTACCCTTAAGACTATCTTTCTGCTAGCTATTTCGTCCCCCCGTGCCGACCTTGATTCCGAGGCCTATTGTGCTGCAGGCTTTCTGTCCTCCTCCTTTTACATCTGCGGACCAGGAAAGGCTGAACCTCTTGTGTCCAGTGCGAGCATTGGACACTTATGTTCATCGGACATCTTCGTGGAGAAAGTCCGACCAGTTACTTATTTGCTTTGGATCACCTAAGATAGGTCTTCCTGCTTCTAAACAGACAGTTAGTAAGTGGATAGTTGAGGCTATTGCACTTGCATACGAGTACTCTGACCAGCCGTGTCCTTTGGCGGTCAGAGCTCACTCTACGAGGAGTATGGCGGCCTCTAAAGCCTTACTATTTGGGGTTTCTCTTCAAGACGTTTGTGATGCAGCAGGCTGGTCCTCACCGCTCACATTCGTTAGGTTTTACAGCTTAGACCTGGATGCTGCCCCAGGTTCTCAGGTGCTTAGTGCTTAGTTACAACAGACTAACACTCAGGTACTTGGAATTCTGGCGTTTTGGGTATTCTCGTTCCCAAAGCGTCGTTGACGCATCGCGAGTTCCCTCAAAAGGGAACGTCTCAGGTTACAACTGTAACCATAGTTCCCTGAGAAAGGGAACGAGACGATGCGTCACCCTGCCATACTTCCTGCATCCCTGTGATCGGCTTGCTTCGGCAATTTTTCGAAGCTAATGCCGGTTTGCACCGGATGTGCTTTTATCCCTTCCTGGTCATGACTTCACCCACCCGTGACGCTCATTCTTTCCATTGGACTAGTTGACATAGATGCTTCAGACGCATTCACGCTGGGGGCGTTCCCAAAGCGTCATTGACGCATCGTCTCGTTCCCTTTCTCAGGGAACTATGGTTACAGTCGTAACCTGAGACGTTTTTAAAACAGTAGAAATCAGACTCACCGACATCACATCTGTCTCTGAAGAGTGACAGATCAATCCCTCTACCACTGAACTTCAGTGATGAAGCACAGAAAAATACTGAAAGGTTTGATCTAATGTAACATTCACAGTAAAGGTAACACGAAAGAGGAAAAGTATAAACTGTCTTTCATGTGTAAAGATAAACATACCGTACAGTAAAGATAACATAAAAAGAGGAAAAGTATAAACTGTCTTTCATGTGTAAAGATAAACATACTTGTTTACCTGTTACAAACGTTCTGTGTTTTACTCATAGCACCAAACAGGAGAGATCAGACTCACCAACATCACATCTGTCTCTGAAGAGTACCAGATCAATCCCTCTACCACTGAACTTCAGTGATGAAGCACAGACAAATACAGAAAGGTTTGATCAAATGTAACATTTACAGTAAAGATGAAAGAGGAAAATTATAAACTGTCTTTCATGTGTAAAGATAAACATAATTGTTTACCTGTGACAAACGTTCTGTGTTTTACTCATAGCACCAAACAGGAGAGATCAGACTCACCAACATCACATCTGTCTCTGAAGAGTACCAGATCAATCCCTCTACCACTGAACTTCAGTGATGAAGCACAGAGAAATACAGAAAGGTTTGATCTAATGTAACATTTACAGTAAATATAACATGGAAGTGGAAAAGTATAAACTGTCTTTCATGTGTAAGGATAAACATACTTGTTTACCTTTGATAAACGGTCTGTGTTTTACTCGTAGAACCAAACAGGAGGAATCAGACTCAACATCACATCTGTCTCTGAAGAGTGGCAGATCAATCCCTCTACCACTGAACTTCAGCAGTGGACCACAGAAAAATATAAAAAGGTTTTGTCTAATTAAACATTTACAAAGAAGTTAGCATGAAAATGAGAAAACATGCTGAAATAGTTATAATAATGCCTAGATAATCCAAAATAGGCAGCAATATATTGTTGAATATTCCTGCAGGAGGTTGTCTGTGGAAGAGACCCAAGACCAGGGGGAGTACAGACCTGCTAAAAGAGTCTGTCAGCAGCATTACGGAGCTCCAGTGGTGTTCTGTAAGACAGATAACATGCACATCTGTAGCATCTGTATGGGGCAAGAGCACCAAGGCCACAGTAAATTCTACATTGTGGTTAGTTTTCCATTGAAATATCTTTTTGTTAAATATAAAATGAAATGTCCCCAACTAAGCAAGCCAAAAGCGACAAGTGAGCATGAGCCCGGAATAGGCTATATGTTACATCTATATATGTATATTAAAAGCTCATTATGGATTAGTATTCCCCCAAGTATACATTTAAGTAATTAAATTAATATAACGTGCAATTAGTCGACTTGAAATATCTAGATGAATGTCTAGATTTTTTACCATAGAGCTGCAGATTCCAACTGTGTATTTATATCAGTGTATTTTAGCACAGTGTTGAAAGAATAGACAGGAACCGTTAACAAAAAAAAAATAAAAAAATCCTTCTGATGTTGCTCACTTTTCAGTTTTTTAACAGACAATTTCATTTTAAAACAATTTATATAATTTATGGTTAATAAACATTTTTCTATTGGGTACTCTATTTTACCACAGAAATCGAATGTTCCAGGAAGTCAAACCATACTTCATGATAAGATGGAGAACATGGAAACAGAATTCTTCAAAACCTTCAAAAGAGAACTATCTGAGGATTACCCAGAATGCTTAGGGAATCAGCCAGAGAAGCTCAGTCCCTCTGATGCTGCTAAGAAACTAGTGGAGAGCTTTGGAGGAGAGGCAGCACTGAGGATCACATGGCACTTCGTGGCAAATGGTAGGAATATTATTTAATTGAAGTTTAAATAAAGATTTTTTTTTTTCATTTCATCTAAACATCTCTTACTTTTGTCTAGCTAATCCACTTCAAAAAATCACAGATGCCAATAAAGCAAAGCTTAAGAACAAATGTCAACATTTAAATGAAGGAAATTCATCTCAAGGTCAACAATGTTTTTTGAAGGATATCTACACAGATCTTTACATGAGAGATGGTGGAAGTGGAGAGATAAATAATGAACATGAGGTGCTGAGGATTGAGGTGATTTCACAAAACAGAAACACGCAAGGAACTTCATTTGCATGTAATGACATATTCAAGACACTGCCAGGACAAAGAAAACAAATCAGAACAGTCCTGACGATGGGCATAGCTGGCATTGGAAAGCATGTGTCGGTGCAGAAGTTCATTCTAGATTGGGCGGATGGAAAATCAAACCACACTGTAAAAAATTTACTGTAAAATTTACAGCAACTTACTGGCAATTTTGGTTGCCAGTAAGCCTGTAAATTTTACAAGATTACCGTAAATCATAAAATACAATTAACTGTAAAAAATACAGCACACCTGTAAAAGCAGAAAAACAAGAGCAGCTGTGAATTTACAGTTCTTTATTGTATTATTTACAGTATGATTATTTGATAATTTGAGGAAACCGATTATCTTAAATTGGTCAATTGACATTTCATATTTATACTGTGATTTTATTTCATTTGAGTCCACTAAAAAAAAAAAAAAATTTAAATGAGTTAACAAACCATCTATTTAACTCCATCCTCTTGCAGATAATTGTTAGTTAACAAGAGCATACACCTGAATTGACGAACTTAACAAAAAGATCATCAATACATCAGCAACTACAGTCACTGCCTTTAAATAAAGCAACACACAGCATAACATCGGTGTTTCTCTGCTCATCCTGAACTGAAGCACAGGCTCTACTCTTCAACACAATGGTAACACACAAAACGCAACAGAAACACTTTAAATCCCAACAGATTAAACACTAACAGATCTCCACTATATCATTATGTGCAAAAACACATAAAATCACACTTCATTTCAGCATTTACTCTCCTGAGCAGTCATTCATATAAATATATATTCACATTTCACATTTATTGTCACATAAATACATGCACAGAAAATAACTTATTTTGTTTAGTAAATTTGACTTAGATTGTATAGTAAACTACTGACTTCCAGCCACAGCCATATATTTAATCAACTGAAAAGAAAAGAAGACAGTACATATCTAAAGATCTCAGCAGAGGAGGAGTAAATAACTCATTACCAGCATCACTTGTCAAGGTCTTTTTGAGAATTAACTGAGGTTTAGATGTTGATTATTTATGGTTTAGTTTGTAGTCACCATGATGGTGATAAGTGTTGGCTTTAGTTGGGCTGTTACCCTTGACATTGCAACATTAGTTTTTCTCTGGCTGCTTTACCTGTGTGTTTATAAGGCACAACAGTTATGGCAATAAAGCCAAGATAAAAGAAATCTGGCGACTCTGACTGTGTATTGATGATGTCATCAAAAGAGCTTACAGATGAGTAGCACCTCATTTCGCCCAGAGTTGAATGTCTTCTCAGTCATATGGTTCTTTCCATATAATTGATTGATATAGCGATTTTCCATAAAACAATTTAACAGCATTATCATTTGAATGATTTTAAAAACAATATGGCATAGATAGTTTAAAAAAACATCATGTTATTAAGTCACACACAGACATCAACAATCAGCGTATGAATCTCAACAATGGTGACACTCAAATGAAACGCTTCATGTTGCAATGCATGCTGGGTATCACCTTAATACAGAACTCCCAGCATGCATTGCAGCATGCATAAATTATGCAGCTGAATTGTCTTATTTTCTTTTCTTCTTACCATGTGCTTTTATTTTTGTTGTTGTTTTTTGATGTGACTTTTTAGTAGCTTGATTTGTGATGTTCAGAGTTGATATATCTATATTATGTTTGTCACCATAGTTGAGGTTCATATACTGATTCTTGATACACGTGTGTTCCAGTTGCTTGAAAGGTTTTGTGAATCTTATATACGTCAAACACAAATTACCTGATATAATCACAACTGAACATCATCATCATGCTGTAGAATCACACGACTACACCAATCAGTAAGGAGAAATCTATTATAACCTCAATTTCATAATCAAAAAAATTATTCTGATCAAGATCAGCCACTAGATGTTGTCAAGGCTGATATCAATAGACAACCATCAACACCTGAACATCATTTTACTTGACTTTTATTGCCATAACAAATTTGTCTCATAAAGACGTGGTTATAGTAGTCAAAGTAAAACTAATGTTAAACTTATCAAGAGTCAAGAGCCCAACTAAAGTAAACACTAATCACGATCATGGTAACTTCAAATGAAATATTTTCAATAAATCATCCACATCTAACCCTCAGCTATTTCTCAGTAAGTCTAATTATGACAGAAATAAAGAGAGTCTGGTTAGTAATAAGTGAAGCTGGTAATGCTGTTTGTGGAGTTGTTTAATCCTCCTCTGCTGAGATCTTCACAGATTTAATGTCTTCTTTTCTCCTCAGTGGATTTCCTCTAAGGCTGTGGCTGAAGTCAGTTGTTTCCTGAAAAATCTCAGTCAAATGTACTAAACAAAAAAGTAAAATTATGTGAATTACTTTATGTGATTTTATGTGTTTTTGCACATAATGATATAGTGGAGATCTGTTAGTGTTTAATCTGTTGGGATTTAAAGTGTTTCTGTTGAGATTTGTGTGTCACCATTGTGTTGAAGAGTAGAGCCTGTGCTTCAGTTCAGGAGGAGCAGAGAAACACTGAGGTTAAGCTGAATGTTGCTTTATTTAAAGGTAGCGACTGTGTATTTGCTGATGCATTAAAGTTATTGAACTCATTCATGTGTGCTGTTGTTATCTAGTAGGATTTAGTTAAATGTATGTTTCTAGTTAACTCATAAAGTCTTTTTCTTAGTAGACTCAAATGAAATTAGCTCACGGTATAACTATTTCATGGCAAATTTCCTCAAATGAAATGAGTTGTCTCAGGTTTTAATTCAATGCATTATTAATAACAGTAACATACTGTAAATAATACAGTAAAGAACTGTAAATTCACAGCTGGTCTTGTTTTGCTGTTTTTACAGGTGTGCTGTATTTTTTACAGTATAATTGTAGTTTATGATTTACAGTACTCTTGTAAAATGTACAGGCTTACTGGCAACCAAAATTGCCAGTAAGTTGCTGTAATTTTTACAGCAATTTGTTACAGTGCAAGATATCAACGTTATCATCCATCTACCATTTCGTGACCTTTTCCAGAAAAAGGGGAACTGTAGTCTTCTACAGCTGGTTCAACAATATGCTCCTGAGGTGAAAGAAGAAAATCTTTCAAAACTGAAAGTGATTTTTATTTTAGATGGTTTAGAAGTATGTCAGTATCCTCTTGATTTCCATAAGAATGACTACTGCTCTGATATAAATAAGAAAGTTAATTTGGATGTGCTGCTTACAAACCTCATCAAGGGTAATTTGCTTCCCTCTGCTCTCCTCTGGATAACTACAAGACCTTCAACAGCCAATAGGATCCCTCCTGAGTGTGTCCACCAGGTCACAGAGATTCGTGGGTTCAATGACCATCAAAAGGAAGCATACTTCAGGAAGAAAATCAGTGATCAGAAGCTGGCAAGTGAAATCATAGCACACATCAAATCATGTCAGAGCCTCTACATCATGTGCCACATGCCCATCTTCTGCTGGATTTCTGCCACTGTGCTAGAAAATATGATGAGTGATGGAAACTCTGATGAAATACCCAGAACTCTAACTGAGATGTTCACTCACTTCCTGCTCATTCAGATCAGTCTCAAGCATAAGAAGTTCAATGGAGCTGATGCCAATAATCCAAAGAAACTGTCTGAATTTGACAAAACATTGATTCTGAAACTGGGGGAACTTGCTTTCAAGCAAATGGAGAAGCACAATTTTATTTTCCAAGAAGAGGATCTAAAAAAAGGTGACATTGATGCGAGTCAAGCCTCAGAGTACTCGGTGTTCACAGAGATTTTCAGAGAAGAGCTGGGATTGTACAGGGAGAAGGTCTATAGCTTTGTACACGTGAGCTACCAAGAGTATTTGGCAGCGATATATGCTCACTTTGCATGTGTTAATGATGGGAAAAATGTTCTTGAAAAAGACAAAAAGACAAATCTTTCAAATGTACATCAGAGTGCAGTGGACAAAGCTTTAGAGAGCGAAAATGGACATCTTGACCTTTTCCTTCGCTTCCTTTTGGGTCTTTCTGTTGAGACTAACTGCAATCTCCTGGAAGACCTTGTAACCAAAGGCAGTTCATGTAAACCCTGTGTAGATAAAAACTTGACAGTGTGTTACATCAAAGAGAAGATCAAACTGGTACAATCACCAGAGAGAATCATCAATCTGTTCCACTGTTTAAATGAGCTGAATGACAACACTCTTGTTAAAGAAATTCAGACTGCCATGAAATCAGGAACACTCAGGGGTAGTGAGCTGGAGCCAGAGCAATGGTCAGCACTGGCTTATGTCTTGCTGAAATCTGGGGAGGTATTAGATGAGTTTGACATGAAGAAGTTCAACACATCAACAGAAAACCAGATAAGACTGCTGCCAGTGCTCAAAATCTGCAAAATGGCCAGGTCTGTTTTTATTATCCATACTGTATACAAATTGTTTATAATATGTTGTACACTGCTACACCTCCATATATTTAAAATATCATTAAAAGGCTTTCCAGCCAAGAACTGAGACTTTACTAACTTAAAGGTGCTCTAATGGCGCTTTTCCACTACACAGTACCAGCTCGCGTCGGCTCGGCTCGACTCGACTCGACTCGCCTTTGTTTGGTTTTCCACTGTGTAAAAGTTGTACCTGTACCTGCTTTCGGGTACTTTTTTTCGTACCACCTCCGGCGAGGTTCTAAGCGAGCTGAGGCGAGCTAAGGCGATACTAAAATGTGACGTGAAAACAATGCCGACTGCTGATTGGTCAGAGAGAATCGTCACTATTCACTGCGTAATCATTGCACGCGCCAGATGGAGTATCCAGAATAACCCCGCCATTTTTAAATAGTTTGGCCAGAGATAGTTACTAAACTTACTACTATTATTATGGCAACTCGGAAGAATACGCCGTGGTCAAACGAGGAGGTGCAGACATTCCTTTGTTTGGTTGCCGAAGAGAGGATCCAGCGAGAGCTTGATGGGGCAACGAGGAACGAAAGGCGTCGCTATGACGACCGGGTACTATTTGTGGCGGTACTTTCTGCAATGGAAAACGGAGCGAAAAGCGAGCCGAGGCGAGTCGAGTCGAGCTGGTACTGGTAATGGAAAAGCGCCATAAGCGATGTCACGTTTTTTAGGTCAAAAGATTTTTTGTCACATACAGCAAACATCTCCTCACTATCCGCTAGCTGCCTGTCCCCTGAACACACTGTAAAAAATACGGTCTCTGTTGACAGCTTAGGCTCCACAAACTGCAACAAACATTACAAACAGTGTTCCAGCCAATAACCGACAAGGATATGGGGGTGGGGTTTGGGGGGTTAGTGCGTACACATGAAGGGGGGTGTGGAGGAGAGAGAAGCAAGAAGAGGGAAGTTAGAATTATATTCTCTTTAAGTTTGAGATGGCCGACACACGACCAAAGAGACGATGCTCTGATGAACAGATTGCAAAGAAGAGGGAAAATGGAGGGACGGGATGAGGAGGAGGGAGGGTCTAGCTAGCCTCCGTTTTGTTTGACAATACTTCGAACGTCAACAAGAAATGACTTCACCCAACAATTAGAGCACCTTTAACCTTATTTTGTTAGAATGTTTTTGTTGCATTGTCACATTTAAATGCACACAGCAATATGAATGGTTTGTCTGAACAACTTTAAAAAAAAACCCCGGAAAAATGCACTCTTGTTTACAGACTAGATTGTTGTAATCTCTCATCTGAGTCCTGTGGAAGAATCGCCTCAGCTTTACAGTCAGTCAACTCACCCTTGAGAGAGCTGGATCTGAGCAACAATAAACTAAAGAAGTGTGGAGCAACCATCCTCTTTTCTGGACTAGCAAGTCCACTTTGTCAATTACAAAAACTGAAGTAAGTAGTCTAAGTAGTCAATATGTATGAGGTATTTCTTAGAAACCCTGTTCTTGTCAGAATCACAGACTGGCGAGTGTTGTCATATAATTATCAATTACAAAACACTTTGATATTTATTCTCTGGAAGCCAGGCTAAATGAGTAAACACTGTTATTGGCCTTAATCACATCTTATACACCAAAAATATACACATCATAGTAACCTTAATAAATCAGTAGAAACATAACCTGGATAATTAAGACTATGAATATCTGGTGATTATTTGATATGAGATGTTGTGATTGTAATTTATTGTAGCCACTTAATTTTTCCCCCCCACAGTTGGTAGGACATATTTCTCAACACTTAGGTCACTTTTTCAAAACTCTTAACAGTTCTCATAATGACCTTTCAACTCAGCACAGCAGTTAATTTCACATTCAGAGTGCGTTAAAACTACCAAAACACTTCATGTCTCAGATTCTTCATAAGACAAGTAAAGGTTGTCACCCAACAAACACACTTTGTTACTCACGAGGCATCGACCTATAACACTTACAATGGTTTGCATTATACAATATTGTCTTTTGTAAAATGTATTTAAAACAAGGATGACAGCTATCTACTGATTAGAACTCGCTGCAATATATGTAACATGGCCCATGTTTAAATTACAGTACAAAATTATTCTTAACTTGACTCCTATTGTATAGATGGTAATTTAATTGAAAGACTAACAGCTGTGTAAGTGTTCAGCTACATCTAAATGTTTTGATAGTATTTTATTTTTTGGTTACACTTTATGTTGATGGTCCCCATCAGACATTCTGTTGACTGTAAGTAATGTTGTACCTACATGTCAACTAACTCGTATTAAAGTATTAGTTGAGTATTACAGTTTTTTTTAATAGTATTTCAGATTCAGAATACATTCAAATATGGTAACATTCAAGACTAATGAACAGGGAAAACCAACAAACAAAAGGACTACAAAGGACTACAGCACGGCACAAGGAACAGGAAACATTTTAATTGTCTAGGGGCAAGTCCAGGGGCAAATGCAGGCAACATGTAACAGTTGACATCTACAGTAGGTGCTTACTTAAAGTCAACAGAATGTGTTAAGGGGACCATCAAAATAAAGTGTTTCCCATTTTTTTAGATTAAGACAGTGGCGTAGCAGATCGGCATGCAGGGCACACAATGTTTCCACAATAAGGTTTTGAAAAAGTGACCTAAATATTGAGAAATTTGTCAATAGCAATTGGAAAATAAAACTCTGTTATTAGACAAAAATATTGACTCCTCATAGTGTTGATGCAATTACTTCAAATAGAATACAGTGGATAAATGTGAGTTGATGGTTACTGTTAATTCATTAGTTGTGGTGTCTTTTGTTTCTGCATCTCAGGCTGGCTGGCTGTGATTTTCCATCAGCATTCTGTACAAATCTAGCCTCAGCACTCGAATCAACAAATTCACTCCTGACAGAACTGAATCTGAGCTACAATACGATAACTAAAAATGGAGTAGAACAACTCTGTGCTGGACTTATTAGTCAAAATTGTAAACTTCAGAAACTCAAGTAAGTATTTATTTGTGAGAGTGTTTACATTTATCATTAGCTAATTTGGTATGATATGTAATTGACCTCTTTCTACAGGTTAAAGCAATGTGGTCTCCTAAAGGCAAGCTGTGCACATCTAGCATCAGTTCTGAAATCATCTTACTCAGACCTAAAGGAGCTGGAGCTGAAAAACAATGATCTGGGAGATTCAGGAGTAAATCAGCTCTCAAAAGGACTACATGATCCACAGTGTACATTAGAGAAACTGGGGTAAGCACAACTATGATGACATAATTGCTGTGTTATAATATTATAACCAAAGGTCACCAACGGTTATTTTATTAGTGGTCCTCCTTGCAGGCATCACTATTATTATGGTATCGTTCGGGTGAGGGAAATGAAACTGAAAAAACCCTTAAGCATTAAACTTTATGCTGTGAACATGAATGATACATCTTGTTAAGAGGTAAGCTCTTTCTTAATGAGCTGACTCACAACTAAACAGGCAAAGACCTCATAGACAAGTCACACAGTCTTACACTGAAGGAGGTAGCCAAGCCAAATCTAGAGACCTGAATATCACAGTGACTTAAGGGTGGATTCGTTTTGCATGACTGCAAACGCATAGACATTGCCCAGAACAGAAAACTCAAGCAACCACACAGCAATGGAATAAAAACCACTCAAAACATCCTGACAACCACTTACAACACCCTAGCATCATGACAGCAATTTTTGCACAGGCAAATGCCATTACAGTATCTTCATGAAAATGTATAGAACATATTGTTAATTCTTACAAGTCTGGGACTGTGTGGCAAAGTGTAAAAGACATTTGACAGTGATGTGTCATGATCTTGGGCTCATTTCTGTTTTTTAAATATATATATATATATATATATTTTTAAATCAGATGCTCTAGAAACACTGTTTTTTTTGTGTGTTTTTTTTCCAACATTATCTGCAGTCTGTCGGGGTGTATGATCACAGAGGTGGGCTGCAGTTCCCTGGCCTCAGCTCTCAACTCAAATGGTGGTCATCTGAGAGAACTGGATCTGAGCTACAACCACCCTGGAGACTTAGGGGTGAAACTGCTCTCTGATAAAAAAGATGATCCAACCTGTAAACTGGAGAAACTAAAGTATGTACTTATTTTGCTATTATCTAATACACTACATGTTAGAATCTTGATTAATCATGGCATGACATTATGATCATACTACATGATCATAAGATTCTACAATATCACAAGCCTCTGTATTTCAAATGCTGCTCTTTTAACAGTTGATTATATTTTAAATCTCAGTGTTTGTATATTCCCCCAGTGTTGAGAAAGGAGGAGAGTGTCGAACTAATCCAGGTCTGAGAAAATGTAGGTATCTTATGCAAAGACACAAAATTGAACTGTTAATTATATTTTGAAAGATGTAATCAACATTTATACTATGTAGCTGTTGAATCATTGATTCTGATTGGTTGACGAATGTTCTACGGTGTGCAATTATTTTCAGGGAAATGCACAGCTAAAGTAGTTATTTCCATGTTTTTTTGCCACAAAATGTCCTTTTATTATGTATTTATTATTTATTATGGAAAAGCACATAATCTCTTTCTCCCGATCACTCTGTCTCTCTCAAACCCAACATACAGACACATACTCGCACAGTGTTGTCAGCGCTGTTCTGACGATTTTATCAGTAAAATACTACATGACATTTCTCACTACCTAGGTAATAACGGCGCTGTTCTTGAAGCAGATAAATGTACAGTTTTGCTATTAGTGGAGACGCTACTGCCGAACACTGTTGAGAGACACACAAACTTGGGAATTTCATCTCTTAATCAAAGCTTAATCTCTCTCTCTCTCTGGGCATGTTTACACCTGGTCACTTCATGCGTTTTTACTGATCAGATTTATCGGTGAGCTGCATTTTATTGATTATCAGCTAATTTCAAAATCAAAGACCGCAATAGGAGAGAGCACGGCAACAGCACTGGTAAGATAATTTAGTTTCTTTACTTTTAATGAAGAAGATTGTGAGTAAATCGTCTGCGACTTTCAGTTGTTGTTTTTTTGCGGTAGTTTACACGTTGGCTTAATGAATAGATGCTCAGCTGCTCATCTGCGGTGATGCGTTCTGCAATAGCGGCTTACTATCTGGCTATAACATGACATATAACCTATAACACGCTCTCACACGTTTATTTTTAGCAGTTAAAAGGAGTAAAATTTACATATGTGGTTTCAACAACCAGATGCATTTAGACTTGTCCAGTTTCGTCTGGAATGCAGCCCAGACCACCTCCGGATTTAAATCCGTCTCAAATGCGTTATGGACGGCATTTACACCTGGTCTTTTCACGATCGGATTGCTATCCGATCACAGAAAACGCACAAAGTAGCTAGGTGTAAACAGCCCCCGTCTCTCTCTCTCTCTCTCTCTCTCTCTCTCTCTCTCTCTCTCTCTCTCTCTCTCTCTCTCTCTCTCTCTCTCTCTCTCTCTCTCTCTCTCTCTCTCTCTCTCTCTCTCTAGTATCTGCATTAATAACTACATTAGTCTGCTATCAGTAGCTCAAATCGTTACTAGCTCTAAAATTACGTTTTGGAATTAGCAATGAAGGCTTGGGATTAGATGTGTAAGAAATTAGTCCTACACACAAGAGCACTCAACACTCTGCTTCGCATCATGGCCGCATTACCACCTCAGGTGTGCATTATTTTTCTATTACAGTTTTTCTCAATTGCTAAAACACTAAAACCCATTGGCTGAACACAGTTCTCAGTTGCCTGAACTCATTTAGCTAATTGTGCAGTCTGTTGTCAATACCTTAAACTATTTCACATGGCAAAACACAATTTGCAGATCTTACTTAGACTTTTCAGCAAAACGCTAAACACATTCTCATTCTCAAAACATATTCTGCACTGTAATGCACACGTCATCCATACTGGTAAACACAAGTGGCAATGATCAAATACAAATAGAGAACAAATGTCATTGATTGAACACAACCACTCAAAATTGATTTACAGTTTTTCTCAAATGCTAAAACACAAAAGCCAATCCTCTAAATCAAATGACCAGTTGTCTAAACACATTTACTAAATCTAGCCATCATTTTCCAATATCATAAACACATTTCACATGAAGACACAATTCACAAAACACAATCCTCCGTTCTCATAAATCTTAACACATTTTTCCTTGCTAAAACACAAGTTGCAAAAGAACTCTGCTCATATTCTCAAATGAAAGCTCATGTGATGCAAAATGCTTGCCACAGTCAGCAATATTTGAACACAATGAACACACCTGGCGTCATTCATTACACACAACGACTCAAAATTGAAGACACTTGTTGCTAATGCTGTGACCACATGTATAAAAGCAAGTTCAGAGTGCATAGTTTGCTGAAGATTACAAACAAACACAATGGATGAAGGCAGAGTCAGGGGAAGAGGAATTCGAGTCAGAGGAGGGAGAAGAGCTGGCCATGGAAGAAGAGGAGCAGGCCAACGAGGAAGAGGAGAAGGTCCAGGAGGGAGAGCAAGACAACCTCGCACCATCATTACGGACGAGATGCGAGCAACAGTCATTGACCATGTCATTGTCCATGGCATGACAATGGCTGAAGCAGGACTAAGAGTCCGTCCAAACCTGAGTAGGTTCACCGTGGCCACCATTATCAGGGCATTCAGACAACACAACAGGTATTGTCAACACATGTTTCTTTCTTTAGAGTTGAAAGAATGCCACATAGAGGTGGGAGGGTTGCCATATTTACAGTGGCACAAGAAACCCTCATTGTGGATATGGTTCGTGAGAACAACCTCATTAGACTCCGGGAGATCAGAGACAAAGTCATTGCCGATAATGTCAACTTTGAGAGCATTGATGATGTCAGCTTGGCCACAATAGACCGAGTTCTCCGGCGCCAAAAGATGCGGATGAAACAGGTCTATAGGGTTCCCTTTGAGCGCAACTCTGCGCGACACAAAGACCTACGTTACAAGTATGTGCAAGTAAGTATACATCCATGTTCACAGTACAGTTAGTGGACATACTGTGTTGCTCAGTGGCCTACAGTACTTCTGGACAATACTGTGCTACCTGATTGACTGTTGTTCTGAACACCTGTGCACTTTCACATTTTCACAGAGGATATTACAGTTGGACGCGATGGCTAGACCTCATGAGTACCTCTTCCTGGATTAGGCTGGCTTCAACCTGCAGAAACGAAGGCAAAGAGGCCGTAACATCATTGGCCAAAGAGCCATCACTGAGGTTCCTGGCCAACGGGGGGGGTAATATTACTCTTTGTGCGGCCATGGGTTTGGAGGGGCTTGTCCACCGGCATGCTGTCCTTGGGTCTTACAACACCCAACGTCTCCTCACCTTCCTAGAGGAGCATTTATGTGATCATTTGGGACAATGTACGCTTTCACAGAACAAACCAAATCAGAGAGTGGTTCACCACCAACAGTAACCACTTTTTAAACGTCTGTCTGCCACCCTACTCCCCTTTCCTGAACCCTATAGAGGAGTTCTTCTCATCGTGGAGATGGAAGGTTTATGACAGACAACCATACACTAGAGAGAACCTCCTAAGGGCAATGGAGCTGGCCTGTGTTGACATCCCAGTGGAGGCCTTCGAAGGATGGATTCGCCATTCCAGGGCGTTTTTCCCACGGTGCCTGGCAAGAGACAATATAGCCTGTGATGTGGCCCGATGCCGCACAGTGATTGTGGTGTGTGTGTGGTGTGAATAAAGTAAATAAAAAACTTCACACCCTGATCATGTTTTCAAGAGTACTGTTGTGTGCAATAGATTCTGTTTTTGCATTGAGTTGTGTTACAGTAGTGTACATGCAGAATTTATACTCTTCATATGAAACTCACAAATCTAAATGCCTAATCCTCTGCAGAGATCTAAGAAGATCCATTACTGTAAAGTTTCTAAAAATATGCATTGGCAGTTATGAAACAAAGAACCTTCTCACAAATTGAGCATTGTGTTTTCAATTGTTTTGCTGTAGTGTGTAATGATGTGTATAGTGTTTACATTTTTGAAAGCTTCGAGCTGCTCTTTTGGTGTGAAAGTTTGAGTTTTGAAGTGAGAAGGTGTGGTTGTGTTTATTTAGCTTTAGAAAAGGGTGTTGTGTTTAGACATTGGGGAACATGGAGGAAACGTTTGTGAAATGTGTTTTAGCATTTGAGAAAAACTGTAACCTGTTTCAAATGATGCCCAAAGACAAGAAGAAGCACACTGATCACGTTTACTCCTTTGATTTTTGTCCCTTTTAGTATTGTATACTGTAGTACAGTGCATTGTAGGCTGTATACTGTACAATGAACAAATTATATGGCCCCGAACATCGTTACTGTAACAGTACCATTTGTTACAGTACTGAATGCTCAATAGATTTTACTGGTTGCACTTGCAGGTTCATATCAACAAAGAACAAGAATTACAGTATCAAACAATAGAACTGACAAAGGAGAAGTTTGTGAGATGCAGGGCACTGTACTGTAAAAATAGGGGTACAAGGAAGAAGAACAAATAAAATTGCAAAGAGCAAAGCAGAGTAGTAATTTCTGATCAATTTTGCGCTACTATGATGTTTTCATTCATCAAAAGACAATGACGGACAAATATGAAATTTGTTTTAAGATTAAAAATGTACTTCTCCCTGAAATTTTGATGGTACAGTAATGTGTCACGGGTAAGTCTACAAACAGAATAGCCGTCCGTAGATATCTTTCGAGAACTGTATGTTTTGAACAATGTGTTTTCTATTTTTTGGTGTATTGTTTACTGACTGCTTGATAGTGTATATCATTTTGATCACTTTGTCAATGATTTGAGAGCAGTGTTTGATTTTGAACACAAGTAAAACTGTTTTGAGGCGAAAGTTTCATTTTGCAAGAAGAGTCAGAGGTTTTGTAAATAGTGCTTGAAGATGAGGTTTTGTGTTTAATGTTTTCAGAAAAAGGAGCAAGGATTCAGAAATTGTGTTTTAGCAATTGAGAAAAACTGTAATTCAACGGCCCGGGGTCAATTATTCCTTAAAATGGAGAAGAAAACCTTTTGTTGTTGGTGTCAAAGGTTGTGTGTCAGATGTGAACATGAACATGAACTAAACTACAAGCTGTTACAAACTATTTTTTTTTCTTTTAAATGGTTTTTATCATGTTTGTTAAAGAATTTTTTATTAGAGTGGAAATCCATTTACTAAATAATGTTAATATGACTGCCTGCTTTATTTGATACAGCACTAAAGTTGGTAGCCACTAGTGTTGGGTAAAGTGACTTTTACAAGTAATTACATTAATTAGTTACTAGTTAAAAAAAAGTTATATTTTTGTAAAGGTCCGTTCACACCAAAAGTTAGTATGGTTGAATTGGATAATCGAAGGTCAGCAGCAAAGACATTGGTTAATAAAGTGAGATTTAATACAGAAAGTACATTTTTACTATTTAACATATTTAATTTAGGGGTGTCCCCGACTAAGGATTTTCATAGTCGAATCAGAATCGTCAAGTCTTGCCTATAGTCGACTAATAGTCGAATCATGTGTGTGGGGTTGGGAAGGGGGCGGGGCTTTAACATTTTAAAGCTGCGATGTACAGAATATCACACAAAGATATAGAAGAAAATGTATAAAAACATTTCGGATCAATGCAACTAAGAAATAACATAAATAACTGCAGAAAGGCCACACTGCAGACAGGATTTGCATTTCACATGTCGGCAAATCATATTAAATGGCTAAATTGCCTGTGCGAGCAGACTCTAAGTACCATCGATGCACTAAAAAATAATCAACAATTAATTTACAGAATTAAATTAGAACAGAATATACCTTTCTAATAAATAAAAATACAAAACATCAGAATCAAGTCACAAGATGCAGAAGATGCAGTCTTTCATGCTGTGTCCGTTTGAGTCTTTTCAAAATGTGTGTGCGGATAAAAAACATTCTAAAACGTGCTTGTCCTAAGACAGTTATATTAAAAGATCAAATTCTGTACACACCTTATTAGCAAAGCATATAGCCTACAGAAAAGTAGATGACCCCAATATATAAACGCAACGCGTTTAATTACACGTCAAGCATTTTCCTCCCATTGAAAACTGTTATTATAAAGAAAATGCTTTACGTGACTTTCTATAGGATGAATGCGTTCATATTCTGGGTTCATCTGCTTAAGCGTTTTAAAAGCTTTTTTTCACATTAAAGGTTTTAGAATGTCCCGAGGAAAACCAACTTGTTAACGTTGGCCGGCAGAAGTGTGATCATGGTTTTCCTGATGATAAATCCAGCCTTGGAGAATATCCTTTCTGATGCTGTGCCAAGATGCTCCTGTCAGTCACGGATCGAAAGTGAAACTTAAATCTGTCACGGGGTGTTTGGATTTATTCAAGCACGTTAAAAATATTTATTAAAATCTTCTTTCTTTGAACATTTTTATTTACAGCATTATCATAATAGGCTGTATATTAATGTATTGACAAAAAAACGGTAGTTCGCTGTTAAATCAGACATTGAGCACCCTCATATAGCCAAAGTGGCATGATCCTTGTTTCATAACACCTCTTCGAAGATTCGACCGTGAGATTGGTAGTGGAATCAGGCTCATCCTATCGAATCTTCGACTATTCGGGGTCCCCCCTAATTTAATTATTGCAGGTTTTTGTAATATTCTAAAATTGCATTTCATAGTTTATTTATTTTGAGGAATACTGAATCTTTTTTTGTGTGTGTGCAAATGAGATGAGTAAATGCATGTTCACATTTAGTCTAGAAGTACAATAACCATCATGTTTACACAGCGCACACAATGCCTCTACACCTCACTCCAGATTTATATCAATATAGGGACAGGAGAGCTGTCAGTCAATAAATGGGAAAACAAAGTAAAGTGCGTTACTTAATGAAAAAGTTACTCCGATATTTGTTGTAAATGTAAAAATAATGCATTACTTCACTAGTTACTTAAAAAAGTATCTGATTATGTAACTTGCGTTACTTGTAATGCATTACCCTCAAAACTGGTAGCCACTAACAAATGACAACAAATCCCCTGTTTTCTGCAGATGCATGTCAGCTCACTGTGGATCCAAACACAGCACATCCACTTCTGAAACTCTCCGAAGGAAACCAGAGAATATCGGAAACTACAGAGGAGCAGAAATATCCTGAGCATCCTGAAAGATTCAAACTGTACCCCATGGCCTTATGCACAGAGGCTCTGAAAGGTCGCTGTTATTTTGAGGTGGAGTGTAACGGTGGAGTTGGTGTGGGTGTGGCTTATAAGACCTTAGATAGAAAAGAGAGTATAATGGGAGTTAAAAACACTTTCCCTGCTCTCCTCTGTCTGAATGGCAAATCAAAACTCTTGCAGAATAATGAGATTACTTGTGCATTCCCAGTGATTACTCAGTCCAAAAGAGTTGGAGTTTATGTGGACTTGGAACTTGGAAGTCTGTCATATTACAGTATTTGTAATTACACATCCAGGCACCTACACACACACCACACTAAATTCAAAGGCCCCTTATATACAGGGTTTACTCTTCTGCCTGACTCCTCGGTGACTCTGTGTAAGCTGACATAAACCTTAAGAGTGAGCAGATATTTCAAACGGAAGTTAGACGTTTTATAGCATTTTTTTATCCCAAACACATATTAGGTAAAGGTTAAATTTTACAGAGTGACACATTATTTAACATCTACTATTAGATATAAGTATGATGACATGATTTCAATATTGGGTCACACTATATATTACGTGTCTTTACTATGTACTTGCATACATACTGGTTATGTATGTACTGATTGTGTTGATGTTGTATAGCAAAACACTTGTGCAACTATTGAGGAGGGATATGGCTATATAAGGTTAGGGACAGGTTTGATATGTACAATATAAAACATGTCATGTACACAATACGTGCATCGTGTCAAATTATTCATTTAAATGTAAGTACATAGTAGTTAGACAACATAAAGCGTTTCTTTTAGCTTTTTATAACTTTGTATAAAAATATATAAAAAACTTAGTCTCTAGTCTAATCCTATCCTAGCACATTGTATAAAACCGTGCTATAAAGCTGCACTACATATGTTTTTTGGTTAAAAATGAATTAAATTCAAAACTGTGACATTTGGTAGCCTTATCCTGGCTTGATTCACTATGGTAAGCCTACAATATTGACAGAAGGGGGTCTGGGTTTAGTTTTTTGCTAGATTAAATAATGTTGTTGCATGAATCTGAACTAGTCAGCTATCTATTGTTAAACATGGGGAGTTCTAAATTGTTCTAAATTTGCCAAAGTAAGACAAGATCAGAGTATTACTCAAGCAATCAGATTCATCCACACCTAAGCGAAGTGACGAAACACAACTGATGGCAAATAGCTACTCCACCTGTAACTTGCAATTTCATATTTCAAGGACTGATGGCTATAAAGATGCCAAAGTTATCTAGTGTAGCTTTAAGTATTTTATTAACAATTTTTGGTAACGCTTTAGATTACAGCCCGGAAAGTACTGCGTAATTAAAGCAATTTTACAGCGTAACCTTCGGTAATTATAGTGTACCTATATTGTACTTACAATATAAGTATAAGAGAACAATATTTTAAGTTTGGGGAATAAAGGGGTAACAACCAGGAGAATTAAAAAAAATATTTATACTGTAAGTATTAAGGGTAACTTATTCTACTATTATGATATAACAATCTTACATTTGGGATCAATTTAGCAAGAACATATACTGCGTACCTTTTTGAAATAATGGTGAACCAGTACATACTGTATAGGCTACTTTATAAATGCATAGATGTACCCTGTAATTTTTAAAATGTAATCTTTTTAACAAAAACTGAAAACGAAAACGATTGCAACTGTTGCTTAAATATTGTGGAAAGATACTCTTGTTTCATGTAGCTTGTTACCCCCTTGTTCGATGTAGTTACAGGGTAAGTGTGACATTGCGGGCTGTAAATTAAAGTGGTGCTTTTTACCCCCTTGTTCCATGTAGTTACAGGGAAACAATAAAAATGTATACACACAATCTTATATCACTGACTCAGAAACCTTTATTTATTATAGAAGCACCACTTACCCTGTAACCACATGAAACAAGATATATTTCCCAGTATTTAAAAAAATTGCAATAGTCTTAGCTTTTCTTGCCTTGAAACATGTTAGCCCAACTTAAACATCTGCACTTTTACTATCATAAAATAAATAAATGAAAGTATAAATGCATAGATATGTACCCTGTAATTAAAAAAAAAGCCTATACAGTATGTATTGGTATACAATTATTACAAAAAGGTAAGCAATGTGTATGTTCTCGCTAAATTGCTCCCAAATGTAAGATTGTTATATCATAATAGTAGAATAAGTTACCCTTAGTTCTATAATACTTACAGTATAAATATTTTTTTAATTCTCCTGGTTGTTACCCCTTTATTCCCCAAACTTTACATATTGTTCCCTTATACTTACATGCAAGTACTTTATAGGTACACTATAATTACTGAAAGTTACTCTGTAAATTCCTCTTAATTACACAGTACTTTCCGGGCTGTAATCTAAAGCGTTACCCAATTTTTTTCTATTGCTAAAATACTTTTGTCCAATCTGTAGTCACATTTTCAAACCTCTAAACATAATTAGCACAACATCCGTCTGTTTTGACCATACTATTAACACAATTCATGTTGTTTTCACACAATATACAGTCAATTAACACGTTTGATAACATTGACATGAATAACATTTCTTTAATCTTTTAACCATTTTGTAATGTTTAATTTGTTTGTTGTGAGACACAAAAGGCATTTTCTCCTATACAGCGACTGCCAATAGAACCATAAAGTACACCAAAACACAACATAAAGTCACAAAAGACATACATTTTATTCACTAGCTGTAATCCAAATCCAGATCCATAATCAGCCATTTATCCAGCGATCTTCATCTCCATTCTCAGCATTGACCAGAAACGTCAAATCCTGCGCTATTTATGATGATTTCAAATACAAAAATTGCACCCTCAAGAAGCTTTACGTGATGTTTTACCTAACGCTCATTGGCTCTCGCCTGTTTCGTCAGTCCTTAACACATGCCGTGTTTCAGTCGATGTACATTTGAAATTGGGAAATGCTTGCCTTTGCGGAGCGAAGCCGCATTAACATTTTCATGGATTATTAACTTAAATTCTACTATTATATATAGCATATCGTCATTTGAACGACTTTTTCTACCGCTTTTGACATTTTCGCAATCAATAAAGTATTATGATTACACTTGTCTGTCTGTTACGTTTTTCTTCATAACTGTACATAATTTTAAGAAATGGAAGGGGTGGCGCACAAGATGGCGCTGTGTTAACAAGCTTGTGTACGTTGCTCGTGAGTTATTTGAGCAAAACTCAGTTTTACTTTACTATGTGGTGAACTTTTTTATTATAGTATAATGGCTTACTGATTTATATATATATCATTTTTGTTTCGTTGGTTGCATTATGGGCAAACGTTCTGCTAAAAATCCAAACAGAAATCTCTCGAATTCCCCCTCGACAAATCAGATGGAAACTATGGCACACTCTTCACAGACAGAAGAGATGGACACGCATACCATATGCGAAACCTCGCGATTCAGTTTCTAATCTTGATATACCACTACTGAAACTCCTGACAAACGCCCATTGGCCAAGAAGTCGCGTGTAACAGTGAACAAAGATGATGTACCGAACTCCGTTATCTTGACGGCTAATTAAAAAATAGGCAAACTCCGGAATCTTTGGCGAGGCTTGGCGAGGAATTTGTGGAAAAGTCCGTTCAAGAGAACACTGCTTCTATTCGCACCCTCTCCTCATCCATGGAATTATTTGGCAAGGAAATTGAAGACGTTACGAAAAGAGTTGATTCTCTGGAGAATACGGTTACTAACCTCACAGAAAAAAATGAAGTCCTTCGTCAGCCTTGTCTGGAACTGGATGAATATAAACGGAGATGGAACTTGCGCGTTGCAAGTGTTCCTGAATCTAACAATGAGAATGTAAAGAAGATCATTCTGGATGTCTTCGGAAATGTTTCACCGGAATCTGCCTCGTCTCTTGCTAATTCTGTGGACATTGTACATAGACTTGGTCCGAAAACAGCTACGGATCGTTCTCGTCGTATTATCATCCAGTTTACCTCGCTCAGAGACAAAATCTGGAAAGATGCCAAGTCTTCCGACTACCTACGATGGAATAACTATATACGATTTTGGAGGACTTGTTTTTGAACATGGAGGAAAACAAGAAATTGTGGCCACTAGTGAAATAGGCAAGGGGCAAAGGAAAAAGGGCAGGTTTTAGAGGTGCCTTTGCTTAGAGGGGAACAGGTATCAAGGTAAATAGTTTGTAACCAGATTGGGAGTTAAATACAAATGAAAGGTGATCCATAATGTAAATCATAAGCTGATTACAGCCTTTATGTGCAGCTCTGTTTGCATGAATCAATTTCTGTTGATAGTTTTTCTTTCTCTATAAAAAAAAGTAAACCATGAATGGTTTTGTACTCTGAGTAAGCTCCTTTTTTCTCTTAATTCTTTACTTTTTTCCATATTCAGCTTTCAATCTGGTTGTTAAGCTTAATTACTTTATGTTATTTAATATTTCTTGTTTTTCGCTTAATGTTCGGGGATAAGACATAATTAAGATAAAATCTGTTTTTTTTTTGTTTTGTAAATCTTTTAACATTTTTGTTTCTAATTTTGTTTCTAATTAAACTCATCGTAAGGAGGACGAGAAATTTTGGCAAAATCAATGGAGTAATAAGATTTTATTTGATCATGGGTCATCATGGGTCACAGTCATCGTCTGCACCATTCTGTCTTCGTCTTCACTACACTTCCCAGAATCCTCCTTGTCTCCACACCTGTACTCACTCCCTCAATTACCCACCTGTTCATCGTCTTCATTATCCGTGTCACCTGTCCTCACCTCGTTATTGTTCGTTGGTATCTGTATTTAGTTTCCTTCTGCCCAGTCTGTCCTTGTCGGTTCTTGTGACTGTTACCTGATGTTTTGTTTGTGTGAACCTTTTGCCAGTCATCCTGTACCTGTGTTTGGAATATTTAGTAAACGTTTTAAATTGGAGCTTTTTGACGCAGCCTCTGTCTTCATCTGCACCACACCCGTGACACAAGTCAGATTTAACTAAAATCATGGCCATGCTCTGGCTTCAGTGGAGCGTACTTTGACAAAAGAAGAAGTGAAGCTACAGCTTACCGCTCTACCCGAGCCATAGTAGTGCGAGGTAGGATAATACAGAACTGAAGTGAAGTACTCAGCCTACCCTGTATCACAGCCTACCCTGTATCACTCCCACCTCACCCTGAGGTTTACCCAGGTGCGGGCCTCCCAGTGGCTCTAGGGGTGACAGAAATTGGATCTGTGCCCAACCTAGGGTAGTGGGGCTTGTTTGTGAGCCAAACCACCTACAACCCAGCGCCCGAGCAGTAACTCAGTGAGGTAGAAGCCTAAACTGGCGGCCCAGATCTGTATGCTAGTTCTGCACTGCAGGGTCGGGCAGACAACCCAGTCTCTTCGTGAGACGAAAGACGGCCTAACCCTGCTCAATAAAGACACATTGTACCGGGGAGGCCTATTTGAGGCCTAACCCAGGATCTTTATAAACCATGCCTCTGCACCACGCTGCATTACTCTACTTGGTGGCCCGGAGAGCAAGATCTGTGGTGCGGCACAGCTCAGCCACCGCCTCAGGGGACATTCCTGCCCCCTGGTCGAGATCCCCCAGCAAGTCGGCCTGGTATGCCTGCAGCACCGCCACAGACCCGCTGCCATGTATGCTCTGCCATTCAGACGCGCCGTTGTTTTCAGCGGTT